TCATGCCTATCCCCAACCAGGATGTGGCAGTCGCCGATTGAATACATGCCCGCTTCTCTCCTTATTTCAGCAGTATTAGTAGGGCGTGAGAGAAAGGCTCCTACTATCGGACCGTCCTGTTTGATGACGGACTGCCGCAAGTCCATCATAACAGCGGTGATGCGAGCATGAGTTGTCCAAGCCGGATACACGATGAAAGCGGCAAACGCACTGCAGGGCTGAGGGCACACTGTTTGGAAAGCATCGGCAAAGGGCAGCTTCAGTTGGAAGAGGTGCCGCTGGCTGACACGTGCAACATCGGCAGCCTCACATGGCACTGGGATGTCAAGGTGGAGACATTCTGGCATGTAGTGCGGCGACACAACATATGACTGCACAGGCACAGTGCTGCAGACTGGACCCTCAGATGGTCCTATCGGGTGCAGTATGGTGGGGTAGCATGGCGGCAGGGGGCGATGATCAGGCTCAAGACGGTCGGCCTCAGCAAGTGCCTCATGCTGAACCTCTGCGACGAGTTCTCTCCACTCCAAAGCAGGGCGGTCGGGAGGAGGGTAGGCATTGGCGGTGCCGCTCATGCTATCCGGGGGAAAGGGGTCAGGCCGCTCACTGAGATGCTGCTCAACCTCTCTAATGGTGTCGAGCATAGGCTTCGGAGCCGCCCACACACACACCGGGAGATGCCAACAGAAGAGGTAGAAGGCCCCGCGCATAAAGCGCGCAAAGAACCTGACAGGCGGGCGGTTGTATGTAGGCCTCTCAAGAGGTGGGGTCGGGCCGTTTTGGAACTTTGGGCTGGCGCAGTGTGCGAGGGGGGCAAGCCATAGAACATTCTGCACTCTACGGAAATGCTTGGAGGCTCTGGCAGCTGAGGTAGGCAGCACACCTGCACGGCTTACAACTAAACCCAAAAGTGTGAGCAGCAGCAGGTGGCTTGCCGTATGGCCGAACTCCCTCGCAAGGCCCTCAACGGCAGAAAGGGAAATGCTCCAGGGTCTGCCCGGGACACCAAGGAGGAGGGCAATTAGGGTACAGACCGCAACTTGTGTCGCCCTCAAGCGTTGCGTGTCTTCCTTGCTGTTCCAAACATCGAGAACCCCTCTATTGGACAGCGCCGTAAGAAACGAAAAGAAAGTCTCCGAAGATTCAGGCCCCCAAAGGCTGACGGCAGCGAAAACTGAGGCTGTCCACACAGTGGCAATAATTTGGGGGAGAAAGCCCCAAAGGAACTGAAAAACAGTGCTTGTGCATTCCCGAGCCCATGTCCCTGAGCCACCGATACATGTGTTTGGCGCGTGGGGAGATGCACTGACACTGTTGCGCTGAGGCCTTCTGCGGCTTCCAAGGTAGGAATTAGCGGCAGGCTGAAATCCAAAGCTGCCGGGGCTCCTGGCAATACAAACCTCAGGAGATGGCAGGGGGCCAGGGTCAAACACATCACGGACGGCAGAGTTCCGTTCACTGGCGCGGTGCCGGCAGGGAGAGGACGGAACATGCGAGGTGGCATTAAGGAGCCGGGCATTGAAATCACACGAGCTCGGAGCGGGAGGCTCAGAAAGTTCAACAGAAAAACTGCCTGTACATCCCCGGGTAAACTGTACAAGCGGTTTCACTGCCTCAGAGTCAACCTTTCCACGACCCGTTGGAAGGCCTGATGGGCATCCCGGCGGTGCATAGTGGCAAGAGTGGTGGCCAGCCGAGGGAACCACATGCTCGGGCAGGTCACCACAAGTGCACACGTCTCCGTAGGTACTCCCACCGAGGCCTAAGACAGGTCCGTGTCTGTCAGCCCCGCGTGTTTCTCGGAGGTCTCGTCCTCGGTATCGTCGTCTTGGATCACCGGCGGCGGAGGGGACGTGGGACCTGGACCAGTCGCACCATTTCCCGGAGCTTTGGGGGTCGGCAGGTCCGCTCTGCCCCCAAAAGGTCGTAGTGCTTGGCGCTTGGCCTGGAGCTTTTCCTCTAGGGTGGTACCTCCAAGAGCCGGTGGCGCGGGAGCTGGTCTGGTCTTGATCGATTGCCTTGGCGTTGCGCCTTTGACCCGTGTCGCAGGCGGTGTCATCACCTGTGCAGGGATCCCTGCATTCGGGGACGTCAAGTAGGGGTCCTCCAAGGGTCCAGCCACATAGCCAGCGACTGAGGGAGGAATCCCTGCATTGGCTTCCCCCGTGCCGGTGGTGTCCATGGGCATCGCATCTAGTCCTGGGGCACCGATTGGTGCTGGCCGGATCGTCGGGGTCGCCATGCGCCTCTGATCCCTGTGCTCCGCCAGAGCGCGGCGCAAGACAGCTTCGGAGCTGTCCTGCTGCTCCATCTCCTGCTCCCATGCCTCCACCATCTCGTCGACAGCGGGAACCGCAGTATCCTCGACGACCTCGATCGGCGTTTGGCGGAGGGCCATCATCTGGAGCCGTTCCCGGGCTTCCGTTCGGAGGTCGATGGCTGAGGAGAGCTCGCCTTCCAGCTTGTCCATGGCCACTTTGTGTCGTTTGTACTCCGCCTGGTATGCAGCCTTGAAGTCCTCCGCATACTGTGTCCACATCTGCCGTCGTTGGTCCTGGTTGTGCAGGAGCTGTTTCACCTTGTTCTCTGCTTTGCGTGCAACATTGATGCAGGCCTGCACATCGTTGACCAGCTGGTCCCCTGTGGCAGGTCCTTGTCGATCGTCCCCACGCTGGGCTGCAGGCTGCTGGTCCTTCCAGAGACGCTTCTCGTCGTAACGCGGAAAGCTGTAGCTGGTGGACTCCGGCTTGGGCCACTGCCTTCCACCCCGTGGGCTCCATGCTCCAGGCCATACATGCCAAGGCCGCTGCGAGCCATTGGAGGAGCCTCCCTTTGGTTGACGCCATTGCTCCTTGCCCATGGAGTGACCGTGGTGTCGTTGCAGCAGGAGAATGTCTTTGGCGCGTGGCCTCTGTGTAGACTGCCGTAGTCGGTGTTTGGCACGGCTGCGACGTGCCCTTTGCCGGCGGTGCCACGCGGGGCTCCGGGGGTGCAGTCCGATGGCGGCAACTCAAAAGTTGCCTGGGGCAACTCAGCTATCCTGCGCTCCTGCAGGTGTTCTGAGCCCTAATATATATATATATATATATATACATATATATATATATATATACATACTCGTATATATATATATATATACTCGTATATATATATATATATACATGTTGCAAAGGAGCCAAAGCCCAATTCAAGTTCTGAAGGCCCCTACATTAAATCCCACGTGCTTTTGTCGACTCGACTTGCCCCAAGACAACGTCCAGCCTTTCACGCTTCGGGCTTAGAGTCCATAGGCGGCTAGCGGTTTAGAGTTTAGGGCTTAGGGTTTCGTGTTTGGGGTGCTAAACCTTAAACCCAAAAGCCCAAACCCCAAACCGTAAACCCTGAAACCCTCAAACCCTAAAGCCCTAAAGCCCTAACCCCAAACCCTAAAACTCTAAAGCCCTAAAGCCTATACAAGCCTTCAGGGTTTCTCCATGTGCCCATATAGTAGATACTTAGGCCTAAAAAAAGGGTTCCTATATAGGTACTTGGTCTAAGTATAGACTAGATGGGTACATCCTAAACCCTAAACTCTAAACCCCGAACTCTGGCAGGACGTAGAAAGGTGCTCAAAAAAAAACCTAAACCCAGGGCACATGGAGCCTCCGGGTTACAACCCGAACAAATCCCAATGAACCTTGAGCCCTAAACCGACATTCCTTCACGGAGAAGCCTGGAGGACTAGGAACATTTAGGGTTTAGGTTTAGGGTTACGGTTTAGAGTTTAGGGTTTAGGGTTTAGGGTCATAGTGTTTAGGGTTTGGGGGTTAATTTCCTGATAGTCCTTATTCTAACTACACTTCTTTAAGCCACAAAGCCTTACAGCCACCCCTAAATCCTAAAACCCTAAGCCCTAAAGACTTAAGCCCCAAACCCAGCACCCTCAAACCCTACACAAAACCCAAAACCCTAAACCACAAAGGCCTGTACGCTCCCCTCATCGGCCGCGGACGTCGGAGGGCTGCCAGCGGCCCCGTGCTGACAGCGCCTGGGATCGGATCTGGGGGTTTCGGGTTTAATCAAGCCTGGACAATCCTTTGATACACTTATTTCCGTCCCCAGGGGTATTGCTATGGTTTTGTCTGGATTGTACTACTTTTGGGGGTTCGGCCATATTTATCTGAAAGCGGCCACATTCGCTTTTGCCAGCAGTGCCCGGCTCTTATTGGGTGATCATGGCATTGCAGCATCATGTGCATCTCGGGCAGAGCATCACATTGCATCTTCTGCACATGCATGGATGCATTTTACATATGTAGGGCTGTCGGTAGCTTGGCCCCGATCCTGGCTCTGTCCGTGCGCCCTGTATGTTTGTACGTGCGTCCAAGCTCCCCAAGCCGCCAAAGAATCCACACCTGCGGCAGGTACACATGGCTTCGATGATGCTTTGGTGGCCGGTTGTGATCACAGGTACACCTGACGTGTTTTGTGTACTGTGGTTTGCGATTGTTGCAAAGGGCTGTACTGTGGTTTGCCGATTGTTGCAAAGGGCTTGCATCCAACCTATATATGCCCTGCAGATGGCTCCAGATCGAAGTTCGATTTACGCATGACTTGTGTAAGGTGCTCATGCAGGGCGACTGTTGACGGATTTATAAATTATATAAGTGGTGAAAACCTTGTGGCAGCAATGGCAGCCCCAACCGCGTCTGAAGCTTGTCCCGTGCTAAAAGCGTGGGCTGGTAGCCCCTCTGTTACGCAAAGGCTCCTCAAGTCCAGGATTCTTGCAGTGAACCATGCTGCACTGGGGCGTGCGGCCTTGTCGGACAATGTAGAAGTCTTGGCTCCTCTGATAAACCACCTCGGTACCTTGGATGGAAGCATACATGTGCGGCAGTTCGATTAAAACCACAAGCATGTATAAGTAGCTCCTGCTTTCCCGAGGCCTTCGGCCATCAGTGAGTGTCGTCCGGGAGTATCTGGTTCGCTTCTACTCGAACTTCTTGCCTAAGAATGTGAAGATGGCTTCAGGCATTGTCCGGGGTTAATTGTAGACCCGATACAGCCTATTCCCTAACCCGAATCCCTGACCCCCAACACTAATCCAAAAGACCCTAACCTATAGAAACCCAAAGCAAATACTACACGATACGACCCCTAGCCCAGCAGCTAGTGCAGGTGCAGACTTGAGCACTGAAGCCTGGATGATCAGAAGGCTGGTGACAATATTCAAGAAATGTGCCAAAAGACCACATGCACCTCGCGACCCGGGAGTTCGCAATCTATTCGACATGTCCGGAATACCAATCCCACAAAGTGTCTTGCAAAACCGTTAGCTTTCTTCCATATGCTTGTACGATTATTAGGCCCTAGACCCATACCCAAAATAAGCTTGCTTCTCAGGTACTGCTTCCGGGAGCAGAAGATCGTCGCCAAGCAGCGACGGCAATGCCTCCAGTGAGGGTTCGGCTTCGGATGGTGAGAGCGCTTCCGAGGCTGATGAATCTGAGGCATGTGAGTCAGACCCAGAGGTTGACCTTGCCCCAGCCACCACCGATGCAAATCCCTTGCAGGTGATTCCGGAATCCGGTGAACTCCCGAGTGTTCCAGAGCCTCCTAACCCGAAGCAGGTGATTCTGGAATCCGAGGAAGTCCCAGCTGCTGATCCACCCAAAACCAGGGCCCCTAACCCAAAGCAGGTGATTCAGGAATCCAACAAAGTCCCAACTGCTGATCCAGCCAACTCCAGGGCCCCACCTGTGCCTGCTCCAAGCAAGGGCTTGACACTAGGGCCGGTCCACAAAACACATGCTGTTTCTGAGGAGCCACCCGCTACTAGGCTGTATGAACAATTATGTCCTGTGCAGGTAGATGTAGCATCCTTAAACCCATTTGTGTTCCTGAGGCTGACTGGTGTCCTTCAGCGATCAGTGCAGAGAAGCTGGCCAAGCTGAACATCCCCGCAGCTGAGTGCCCCTGGTCTTTAGCGATCTAGCTGTGCACGCCTCAACAAACTCCCAAACAGTGCGAAGCCCAGGCAACATGAAGACCGGCTCGCTTGCTTCATCTTCAAGCATCCATACTCCGCCCCCCAAAGGTGCCAGGGCAGCATAAGATGTGATAGTTACACGCCAGCAGTGCATAGATGAATGCATGATGTGTGCATACTTATAAGGCCTGCCACAATCTCCGCGCAGTGTTGCTAAGCATCGCAAAGAGCACTATCTCGTCAAGAACGGAGTGCATGGTTACCACTGCACAATCTGTGGAATGATGGACCAGGACATCAAGAAGATCAAAGAGTCACCCTGCAGGGCCCCGGATCACGAGCCTGGGTCGGACGGGCAGGCGTCTGTCGATGAAGCGACAGCACAGCAGATGATGCTTGATGAGCTTCGCGAGCTGGAGCAGGAAGGCCTGTTGCTTGAAGGGCTATTGAAGGAAGAGCAGGAGCAGCTTGAAGAGCTTATGCTACTAGGTGAGCTAGAGAACATGGAAAGGGAACTGCGGGATCAAGAGGATGCAGATCTTCGAGCAGCCAGGGCTTTAAGCTTGGAGCAGTCACACTACCCAAAGGTTGCAGCAAGCAAGAGTGCGACAGCCACACTGCAGGATCAAGAGGAGGCAGATCTTCGAGCAGCCAAGGCTTTAAGCTTGGAAGAGTCATGCTACCCAAAGGTTGCGACAAGCATGAGCAAGCCAGCCCTACGCCCACACAAGCGACCAAAGCGACACTCTTTCCATGGCAAGGAAGCCAAGGCCCCTAAGATCTCAAAGGCAAGCCCCGTTGCTGCTGTGGTGGCGCCGAAGCAAACCCCTCGATTCACAGCTCAACTAATACCCAAAGGGAAAAAAGCCCCTAAAGCCCCTGACACCCCTAAAGCCTAAAGCCAAAACCTAAACCCTAAACCCCTGAACCCTAAACCCCGAACCCCCAAACCCAACCCTAAACCCCGAACCCCAAACCCCCAAACCCCTAAAACCCTGAACCCTAAACCCCGAACCCCAAACCCCCAAACCCGTAACCCTAAACCCTTAAACCAACTACAGCCCAGGACCCGACAACTTGGAGACGCAGCCCTTCGAGTGGGAGTTTGTGGGCCTCGATGCAAACATGTGCCACAGTGATGCAGAGGATGCAGTAGACCTGGGTGATTTCGAGTTACGACCATGCAAGCTAGACTTTGGTGCTGTTGCTGGCCCTGCAATTGCTGAAGATTCGAATCCGAAGCATCCGGATGTTGAGCTTGGGGTGCGGGTTGAGCCTATCTCTCCAAAGACCCTACATGATGACGATGATGAGGGTGATGATGGTGATGATGTGTCTTGTGCTGGCAGCCACCACACCGTTCATTATGAAGGGGAGCAAGAGCTTTCCAAACGGGAGCCAGAGCTTGACGATGCACCGGCTGCAGTTTCTAAGATGCACTATCACGACACATGATGTGCATGTATGTATATACATATAAGACACAGCATGACTGAGGCACTGGAACCATGTCCTGTGGAAACTCCTGCCGAGCCAATATCTCCAGAGGAGCAGACTCGATTGGCAGGAGGCAAGCCGAAGAAGCCTGCTGGCAGAGGCCGTGCAGGGTCTCGTGGGCGTGGGGGTGGGCGGGGAAAAGCCTCAGGTCGAGGAAGAGGATCTGGGAAAGGAACAGGCAGGGGCAGGGGAAGGTCGGTGCCAGGAGGAAGCCACAAGGAGGAGGATGAAGGTGATGATATGGAGGAGGGGTCTCCTGCCACTGGCCGTGCAGGGGGTCGCGGACGGGGGGGAAAAGCCGGGGGCAAAGGAAGGGGCAGGAAAAGGGTTGCTTCCGAGGCTGAGACGAGCCAGCAGGAAGAGGAGGAGGATGAGGCAAAGTCATCGACTTTGAAGAAAAAGGCCGATAGCAAGCCAAAGCCCAAGCCGAAGTCCAAGTCGAAAGCAACCCCTGCACCCAAGTCGCACGCCAAAAACAAAGTTGCCAAGACAGTGGCAAAGGCCAAGGCCAAGCCCTCCAAAGGGGCCGGCACCAGAACCAGTACAGGGAGTGTTCACGACGAGGCCAAGAAAGCCAAAAGCAGGAAATCCGTTGCTTACCACAAAGCTTTCAAGCTGGCGCAAACAAACGGCCTGCCCCTCGATGAGTGCAAGGCAGCTGCTAAGGAGGTGCCTTACCATATATATGTGCAGTCATACATGTATAAATGCATGGTGGATGCCCTCATGTAATGTGCACACATGGACCATGTGACTGCTGTACTTAGGCATATGCCACCACGAACTGATTCGATGTGCTGGAGCCCGTGGATTACATGATCCAGATCGATTTTGATTGGGAGACAGGGTAGATCAACATAGTGTTGTCAGTCCTGCAAACGGGGCACAGGTGCACGCTGGAGCCTATGGGTCTCACGCTTTTCACCAACATAGGGGGTATTCATTATCGACATATATATGGGTCTACGGGTTACAGCAGGTGCTAGCTACACTGGTTGACCGTGCGAAACCTGCAACAGTGTGTGCCTGTGTAGGTGCTTTTAGAGTGCCTTTGGGATTTGCCTATGTGGCCGGTGCGAACATCGGCTGAGTTTCAAAGCTTCGTGCGACTGAGATCCAAACATGATGTGCTTGCACTAGTGCTTGTCTTCTCAGCAATCATGCAATCATGCTCTAGCGCTGACCAGTCCTTTATAACCGATCCGATTGGACCCTCAATCTTGCCAGGATGCCCCGACGAGCCGCTGCTGCAGAGGGATGGCAGGTTCGTGCCTGCATGCAAGGCAGGGAGCCGGGTCGTTCAGGGGCTGCAAGATTTGCTTCAGCACCGAAATATGCATTTTGAATTGCTGCGAAATCATTTGGGTCAGCTTCGGCTCACGGCTTGCAGATTTGCTGTGTTCTTCATAGGGTCCAGCTACACAATAGATTTGGAGCAGCTTTCATTCGAGTGCCCGAATCCATCTATCTGCTACACTCTGTCGCCTCAACATGGAGAGCCAATCTGTGGTGGTCAATTTGCTGCAACTTGATGCTCCGAAGGTGGGTCTGAGCTGCATTACATAACCTGCATATATCTATGTGCAATGCACTGTCGAGCCCCTAAACCCTAAACCCTAAACCCTAAACCCTATTTCTTCAGAGCCCAATGTACTCAGCTAGGTATTTGTGGCGACGGCATCATGGCCAGACTTTCTTGGTCCACAGCAATCTCACTGGCCTGTGTTCACTAGTTGAAGAATGCTTGGTCATCCACGGGCAACAAACTTAGGTTCTCCTGCTTCGGTGGATGACTACATTATCCTTCTCTGAGAAGTACAGTTTCTTTGAGCTCTTTTCTGGGGAAGGAGCAGTGACTCAAGCCTGGTGACTCTTCATACATCATTGCATGATCTAGAACGATTCCCAGTACAGTCTACATATTTCCCTCGCAGCCTAGGCACGACAGAGGCTACGCCACGGCCAGTTTTGACAAACTGTACGGGGCCCCCATGGACTTCATCTCCAACTCTGGCTATTCGATGCTTAGCTGCTTTGTAATGATGTTGCTCACACGAGAATGTGCCAGCCTTATCTAAGGATTGCAATGTGGGTGGTCCTCAACGAATGCCCGGACGCATGTAATTTGATAGGACCAGATTGCTCCAGTTGGGGAGTCCCGGCACGTGCCAGCAGCATGAGAAGTTTTATCAACCCGCATGGCCGTATGGCAAGTTCATGGGTCGATTCCAACAATTGCCTTGTCAGCAGGCCTCTTGTCATTAAATTGGCCTGCATAAGTAGCATGCTACAACATTATATGATCATGTACTTCTGACTATATAGATGCATGAGGTTGGTTTTACTGCTCCTCCTAATGCTGTCGAAGAATGCCACCTGGGTCGTGGAGCAGCCAAGCCAGACTATACTTACGAGACACCATCGTTTTGAATGGCTCACGAACAAGGTTTCCAAGGCTTCTCGACTTCTTGCAGAGGTCTGCTTCATTGAAGGCTCCAGGGGGGCTTAGATTCAATCTGCTATTGAGGGCTACGCTCTAATTCTATATTGCAGGTTTTCCGCCAGAGAACGTGGATGATGCAGCATGGTGGACCGACACCAAAGCCAACACTGCTACTGTCTCCGATGTGCACTATATCACAATTGGACCTCGGCCCTCTCCGAAAAGCCGAGCGGCAAGCCAAAACGCGTTTCCAAACAGTCCGCCTCGTGTCTAAATTATATTAATCCAAACCCAAGAAAAACCAAACCTTATAAGAGTTAAGTTCTGAACCCAGGCAGACACCTCGACAAGAAGCAGCAGAAGCGGTTCTCCGGGAAATTGAAGGAGCTGAAGAAGTCCGGGAATCCTGGGCCGCCACAGGGGCTGGGGATTAATGGCTAAACCCTAGCTATAAACCCTAAACCCCTAAAGCCCTGAACCCTAAACCCCTAAGCCCTAAACTAAAACCCCTACGGCCAAAAACCTTTAGCCCTTTACTAAAGCCCTAAACCCTAGTCAACCTTCGACTTCAATCAGGGTTACTATACTATATTATTACTACTACTACTACTACTACTACTACTACTTCTACTTCTACTTTTACTTCTACTTCTACTTCTACTTCTACTTCTATACTTCTACTACTACCACCGCCACCGCCACCGCCACCACCACGACTACTACTCTAATACTACGACGACGACTACTACTACTAGTACTATTATATACAGTACCACTGCTGTATAGTGTTTGTGCGAATACTATATACTATTGCTGCTGCTGCTGCTTCTGTTGCTACACTAAAGGATCCCGTAAAGTACCCTATCAAAATCCTCAATGGGCCCCTACTGCTACTCCTTCTGGTACTGCTAGTGCTACTCCTATACTATCTTTATAGTATACTATTACTACGACGACTGCTGCTGTTGCTGCTACTACTACTACTACTACTACTGCTACTACTACTACTACTACTACTGCTACTACTACTACTACTACTACTACTACTACCATTATCGTCTTGTGCAGCTAAGTGCATATACTGCCGTCTTTGGCAAGAACCTCTTGAACGCCTACGAGGTTTGGCAGAAGCTTCCTGGTGATGTTCGGGGGGATATGAGGGTTTGCAAAGAAGTCAACTTGGCTTGCACGGACAAAGAACTGTTCGACTCCATGCCCCTGGGTGACCTATGGTTGGATGCGAGAATCCACGAAGTGTTCCTGTACTTGTACAATTGCAAGTATGTGGAGCCTCTAGGCTTAACTGTCTGGAAAGCTTCGAACAGCCTCTGTATTTGTACAATTACAGCCAGTATAGTGATCGTGTAGATGTAATTTTTAAGGATCCCCGACAGCTGGGCGGATGTGATGAAAGCCTTCAAGAATGAGGTTACGGCCCACGTACCCTGATTGCATTATATTAGAAATAAAAACTGAAAGGAGAAGTGTTCCCTATGAGCCGAATATGCCAAGGCCTGTGGATCCCAAGCGCTCCGGGATGACTTGCAGCAGCTGACACAGTCTTCGGTGCCGGTCTGAAGGCTAGGATGATCTAGTGCTGCAGCCCAAAGGCCCAGCAAACCCCAGAAGTCCATAATAAAGCTCTAGGATAGGCCTCGTTCTGCTTAAGTATTATTTCCCCAACCACAATCCCGGAGCCCATCGTACTAATGAGCCTTAAGCCTATAGGCTAGTCTATACAGGCTACAAAGTACCCTGATTGAAAGCCAATCCAGAGCCCCTTTAGACTAAGTACTACATCAGAATCCAGGGCACCAAGCAGACTAGGGCGGGGTTTGCCTTTAGGGTTCCAGGCTGCTTTGGTATTGCTAGAAAGAGAAACCGAAAGGCCAATCCAAAGCCCAGAGCCCCAGCAGCCCAGAAGGCCAATCCATGGTCCTCAGTTCTGTGGTTAGTACGATAGAACTGAGAAGTGTATCCAGGGTAATTGGATAGGGTTGGTCCTAAACCCTAAACCTAAAACCCTAAACCCGACAACCCTAAAGCCCCTAAACCCTAAACCCTTATATAGTTAGTTACCCTATATACTATATAATCCCACAACCTAAAACCCTAAAGCCCTCAACCCTTATAGTTAGTTACCTTACACATATATAGAATCCCACTTGTAACTACCCATGTGTATGTATTTCTATAAGACCCTTGAGAGTTAAAGGTCCCAAGCAGGATTGGCTGGGCTTTATTTCTGATGCTAATTATGCAGAACGCAAACCCCGGGCACCGAACAAGGCTTCTGCCTGCTGAAAACATACACCCCCAGGATAGGCCAGGCTTCTTACTGGTGTATGACAGATCAGATAGAGAGTGCAGAAGGCAAACCCGGGGTCCCCTCAGGATAGGCCAGGCTTCTTTGTGGTTTAGTATTATGGAGAAAGCAGAAGGCACACCCGGGATCGGGGTTCCCCCACAATAGGTCAGGCATCTTACTGGTTATTTAGTACTGGATCGAGAGGGCAGAAGCCAAACTCTGGGGTCTTTCCAGGATAGGCCAAGTGTCTTATTGGTTTAGTACTGGATAGAGAGGGCAGCAGGCAAGTTCGGTGTCTTTCCAGGATAGGCCAGGTTTCTTATGGATAGAGAAGGCAGAAGGCCAACCCGGGGTCCTTCCAGGATAGGCCAGGTTTCTTATATTGGTTTAGTACTGGATAAAGAGGGCAGAAAGCAAACCGGTGGAGTTTCCAGGATAGCCCAGGTTTCTTACTGGTTTAGTACTGGATAGAGAGGGCAGAAGGCAAACCCAGGAACTTTCCAGGATAGGCTAGGTTCCTTATTGGTTTAGTACTGGACAGAGAGGGCAGAAGGCAAACCCAGGAACTTTCCAGGATAGGCCAGGTCCCTTATTGGTTTAGTGCTGGATAGAGAGGGCAGAAGGCAAACCCGGTGTCGTTCCAGGAAAGGCGAGGCTTCTTTCTGGCTGAGTAGTAGATAGAGAGCGCAGAAGGCAAAACCGGGATCCCCAGAGCCTTTTTGCAGATAGTGAGCCGAAGTGGCCGATCCAGGACTCCAGGTCTGCTTCAATACCATGAAAAGGCCAACCCGCAACCACACATAGAAAAGTCCGGCCTCTTTTGGGTTTACAGCAGTAATGGTGTTAAACGCTAGTTTTAGAGCAAAACGCCCGGACACTTTTACCCGCAATTCGGCCGCAATTTCGCGCAACCCGGCCGCAAATACCCGCANNCCCGCAACCGGCCGCAAACCCAAAAACCATATCAAACCAAAATCCCTGTTTTGCAAGGGCAGACCTGGGTTCGGATGCTTTTGTCCTAATTCGCTCTAGTTTCGGCTTGGAACCAAGCCATCGCAGCAATTCCTGCCAATTCGGATTGCAAAATCACCTTGCTTCATGTTTGTGCCTGCTGCAATAATGCTTGGTGCAGTGGCCTGTGCTCTGTATTCTTGCTGCCTGCAGGATTTCAGAATTTTAGGGCAGTGCTCTATGACTTCACGACTGGGGTCTTGCACCTCCCTTGTTAAGGGCCTTGCTCTCCTAGAGCAGAACTCAATGGCCGCACCCAGTGAGACTGTCGATCTGAAAGCCAAGATTGCTGCTACTTGATTCAAATCATCTATAGGTGCTTTCGCCCCACCCTAAACCCTAAACCCNNTAAACCCTGAAACCTAAACCTTATAACCTGATCCGAGGCTGCCCGGGCCAGGATTCAAGCGCTCCAAGCGGCTCGTGCAGCCCGAGGCACATCAGCTTCGGCTCCTCCAGGCGAGCAGCCCACGGGTTTGTAAAGGGTTTGCCATAGACCCTACGAAACCAGACTTACCCCCAATCCCCTGAAACCCCTCATTCCTCCCAAACCCATTAAGTAAAGCCTTAAAGCTAGGATTGCCTGCTTAGCAAAACTCCTCAAACCGAGCCCCAAAGCCAGGAAACCATGGGCAAGCTACAGCCCCCCCCCCCCCCCCAAGATAATTCATAATTCATTCGGTTCATTCCATTCCATTCATATTATCCA